GTAAATTGCAACAGTTCTGCAGGATTCAACGACACAATCTGGGCTATCGATATTTGGCTAAGGGAGTCGTCTGAGAGACTTTTTTCAGAGGGAGCGACTCCTATCCGATTTCAGCACTTGTCAGGACATAAAGGTTGACCCTGGTTATGAGGACACCTCATTGCAGTGCGGCTCCTCACAGTGGCGAGCAGCCCGCTTAGCGGATAGGCCCGCCCTCACAGGCTTCAACTTGCAAGGTTCATTTGCGGCTAGGTACATCCCATCAAGATTCATTTTGCAGAACTGTGTCAATTGTTGCAAATATATCACTGGATTTGTTAAATGCGCCATTGAAACCTGGGATAGACTTGGTGAACCCGCGTAGCATCGGTAGCACAGGTGCCCAGAAAACGAGAGGTGAATGTTCGATTTGCCCTTGGGGCAACTTGTTTTGCCCATAAAGAAGAAGGGCACACTACAAAAGGCCCGCAGCTCGGCAAGAGCAGGAATGCAGGCAGATCAGCGAATGAGTAGCAGCGCGAACTGTGGGTGTGAGACGTACTATGGTACATCCTATTTATCGCTGCACTTCGCGCCTCGACTCGTCCACTAGCGCGTCTGCGTCTCTGCCTTCTTGACGAGCCTCCTGTCGATTAACCAAAGCACAACCCTTGTGGCAGTACTACGAAGAACGATATATCAAGTTTCTTACCTGTAGCTGTAGCAGAATGAACATTCTCCGTTGAAGCGACAGAAAATTAACATTTTGTGCTGCATCCTTTAAGGATGCATTAATCTTCACAGAACAAAATATATTTATAAGTGACAACGTAACCAGGACGAGCACTGAATCAGCAACCAGTACAAGTTGAAGGGATGCTAACGCGGTACTGGAATCAGTTCAATTTTTCCTTCTTAATTCTCATTCCTTCTTCAAGAACATTTCTGAAGAATGATGAACCTCCACAGATAATCCCAGAAAGGCTGCACCATTGGCTTTCATGCCAGGAAATCTAACACTGTTAGATATCATTAGCTCGAAGTCTTCACCAGGGTAAAAAGCTATACTGACAACAACAATGTAGTTCACTATGACGATAATGTTGATCAAACAAGCAAGAAGCATGGTTCGCCTTGTTGAAAATTTTTCGAAAAGACGTGCCCTGAAAATGCTCATTTTGACTTCAGTTACGATCATAATTTAATATACTCTGATGAAGAAAGTCGCTGATGTCTGTCGAACGTCTCATTCTGACGCTCTAAAGTAACAACAACTTAATGATGATGCGCTGCGTCACACAATCATGTTTCTCCAGTGGAAATTTCCCCGTTTAGCGATTCGCGAGCTTACGCAATTACCTGATGACTTGCGCCGTCGAGAGATATTGATTTCAGAGTTTTCCGTTTTTTCAAACATGAAGAAAAAGTAGGTAAGGTCGAGGGAGCGACTTTTCTGGAACGGCACAAATCAAGGCGTAGTTGCAAGTGCTAGCGGCGGCTTATACTTATTGTATCTTTTATTATATATGTTATTGTATTAATATCTCCCACCACCTTTCACTTTATAACTCTTGAGCTGCTGAACAACTCAAATTAAGGCCGTTGCTACGGTTTGAAAATTAGAAAACGTTTTCATCTAAATCGAGGTTCTCTAACGAAATTGCCTTTTCTCTCTACTAACCGTAAGTTACTGATCTAACCTAACCTGGTTACTAACCTTTCTACTAATCGGCAGTTCTACTGGTAATTCTAGTAGAAGAAGCAATAGGTCTGGCGTGGCACAATCCAAGGTTGGGTGCAGACCCTGCCAAGCGATGGGACAGAAAAGTCATTTTCCCT